ATCAACAATGAAGATTGAACTATACACTAAGGACAATTCTTTTGTTGGGACATGTGATAATGATGAAGCTCGCCTTGGATCTTATGTACTGCATGATGGAATGCGTCTTCATGTAAGTGATTTTATATATATATCAACATCCTGCTTCATGCTTTCACCACTGTTGTTATAAGTAAGCCTAATGTCCATGTCTGTAGATGCAATGAATTTCATCATTGGCCATAATTTATGGACATAATTTTTTGGTTTTACTTGGTACATTTTTTAAATTTGATTTCAGGTAGTCGATACATTTGCACACAGAAAAGAATTTGAAGATCTTTCAAAAGTAAAAAAGTTTGATTTGTCTGTTGAAGAATATTCAGAACGAACAGGTAAAAGTTTAATTTTTTTTATGTTCATAAGTATATTTATAAATACAAGAATATTAAAAATGAACAGATAAATGGTTCATTAATGAGTTGTGTTTGTAAGTGTGTGAGCTTGTATAATTTTCAGTAAATTTGAGAGGTTTAGTATGATTTTAAAAAAAGTCAGCTAAGAGTTATTCTGTTTTCATCACTGTTGCCTTTACAGATACAGTAAAATCATTTCTTGAACGTAACAAACTAGGCAAATACAATGCTGAAGAAATGAAGCAGAGAGAAGAAGAAAGAAAGAAGGAAGAGGAAGCTGATGAAGTTGCTGCTAAGGCTGCTAAATTGGGTAATCGCTGTGAGGTGAGAGTGCCAGGTCAGCCAGTTAGGAGGGGTACTGTCATGTTTATAGGTAAAGTATACAAAGATACTGGATCCTGACATTTCATGCATATTCTGTCTGTTGAATTGCACTTAAGTATAACTTAAAAGCTGATACATTCTGAAGGTAGTTTTGACTGTATCTTAACTTCTTGCAGGTAAAGTAGATTTCAAGCAGGGTTGGTGGATTGGTGTCAGATATGATGAACCCTTGGGGAAAAATAATGGCATGTAAGTAGATATATATCAGTATTATTCCTCAACAAACAGTAATGTAGAATTTTCAATATACTGTATATTTATTTATCTGTACTTTTTAACAATTTTGTGTCTGGTGTGGCTACTTTTGAGACATGAGGTTGATTACATATAGACATATTTGTCAATGTTATGATACCACTGTTATGTTCCCAGAGGGCATAAGAAAACATGATTAAACATAAATCAGGATAGCCAGTTATCCTCATGAGACTTGAACCAGTACCCTATAAATACAGCAACCAGAGTTGGTTTTAAGACAGTTCTATAATTCAGATTTATTTTTTCAGAGTAAATGGGATAAAGTACTTTGAATGTCAGCCAAAGTATGGTGGATTTGTAAAGCCAATTCATGTTATTGTTGGTGACTTTCCTGAAGAGACATTGGATTTTGATGAAGAGATCTGAAGAAATAGCAAATGGATCATGAATTCTAATATCAGTATATGCAGAAACAGGAGACTGTTGCAGTTGACAACACTTTGCTTATTTACTGAAGATTTGTGTTTGGTTTCAACACAACCTTTATTTGCTGTTTTGATATTATAATTGAAGTTTGTTAATTTGTCTTTTGTATAATCCCTTCATAATTACATGACTGATATTTAGATTTAATTTTCCATTTATTTTTAATACTAAAATTGCAGATGAAAAAGCATTTCAAATTATTTATTAATAAAATGTTTATATTGGCACATGAATAATGTAAGTCATTTGAAGCCATATTTTGTGATGCCAGTTTATTTCTCAGTACTTCCTTCTCTTGAGAATCTCTGGCCGCCAGTGAATTGGATGTGTCTCTTCCGTCTGAAAAGAAACATTTTAATGATCGGTACTTTCAACATATTTCTGTAACTTTATCAACTATTATTACATTTTCTTTACTTATACTTGTATAATGCAACAATTTCCAAATACCTAGTAATGCTTCATTCAACTGCAGTATATCACAGGACATGCAGCCCATGTACATAGTCTTTAAACTGCTCCATTTTGTGATTTTCACAGAACCTTTCAATTCAATTTATTATGTTTGTCTGAGCAAGTGTTACTCCGATATCAGTTAAGTCATTAATACTTCAAATCCTATTTCAGAGTTGCATAACATATACATAGATTTACATTGTTTTTTCTCAGACACAACAACATTCCTGTCTACACTTTTTATTCAGTATCCAATGCTATGTGATTTGTTTATTTAACAATTGTATGTAAATAAAAAGAATTATACAACACTGAATGAGCGCTTTGGTTACTGATCATGAATGTAGAAGATAACGCAGAAGTGACCTATTTTAAAATACTGTAATAGCATTTGAACAGACCTTGAGACACCTTAGAGTAACTGTGGTCAGATATGAATGGTGCCTCATGAATACTTAAAATAACCCTAGGATCAACCTCAACATTGTTTTGTCCCATTCAGTTTCATAGTGCTGATTTTACTGCTGTATACTTACAGCTGTATCATCTTCTTTGTATATTTTTATTGTTTTATCTGCTTCCGTTGTAAGCAGTCTACTTCCACTCTGGTCAAATATCATAGAGAAAATACCAGACTCACTGTCCATAGAACCTGGCTGAACTGGAGCCTGTAACACATTTCCATGTCTTTATATAAATATGATAATTGTGATAGTCAATTTACAAATCAAATTTCTAAACTACAAGAACCTAAAATTAATGACTTGCACAGTTATATTTACTTATAATTTTTAAGAGGCAAGATTTAACTTACTTGCAGCCTCTGGAAATTGTATCCTGTTCGCCAGTCCCAGCAATGCAATGTGCCATTATCTGCTCCCGATACCAACACACCTTCAGGGTTCACAGCCAGACAGTTTATAATTGCATTGTGACCTGGTAAATTCTGGATGAACTTCCCATCTGGGCATTTCCACTGTTTGATATTGTCTGGAGAAGCCGAAGCAAACATGTAACTGAAAAAACAATATTTGATAATACAATGTATTATGCATAAAGCAATTTCCCATACAGGAGATGATGAGAAATTTTATGTTTATTCCACTTACCAATTTAATGCATTCTCTATAGTCTGGCATCATAAATGCATATGATAGAGTACGCATTTTAAGTTTTACATTTGTAGGGCACAGATGAATAAATTTTAGTTATGATACAAAAATTCAAATGAACATCTTATAGAGACACTATCATAGGATAGTGTATGCAAATAGAAACTATCAATCTGGTTGGATGAGGTTAATCTTGCTTTTATCTTGTCTTTCGTTTTTTTTAGTCTGATCACTAATCTCCTACCAAAGATATTTATGAAAATATATGTGATACATCCTGACGAAGTAGTATTCATTTGCCAGCATTCTGTATATTAGTAACATATAATATTAAAGATGTTTCATGTCATACAGTCTCATGATTATATTTGACTTATATACTTACAGTGTTGGATGAAACACTAATGATCTGACACTTTTCTTGTGATTTGTTAGGGTTGCCTTGGACTTCCCTGCAGCCAGATCCCACAGTCGAATTGTACAGTCATGACTCCCAGTCACAATCTATAAAGTACACCAAGTAAAGTCAGTGTTTACAGTATTCTGCCCTAATCACTTCCCTCTCATTTTACTTGCACCATCATATATGTGGTTTCCTAAGTGCCACATGAACTGTCCACTAATACCTCTAAACTTACCTGTGGCTCAGCAGCTTGACACACAACACTAGCAATTGTGTTTGTGTGTCCTGTCAGTGTATGAACATTTGCCTTTGTCCGCATATCCCAGACACGACATGTTGCATCCCTACCAGCTGTTACCAGAACATCAATGTTTGGATGTAGTGCCAGTGTATACACAGCACTAAGATGTCCATGATAGTGACGAATCACCTGAAATAAATTACAAAACAATGTTTATAAAATTAAGTGATTTATTGTGATATTTCTTTTGTTTCCGGTTATCATATTAATTCAAGTCCTAACCCACAATTTTCAAAATTTTGATCACAAAATTAAAGTAGAAAAATAAACATGCCTACTGTATCATACCTGTATTACAGGAACATTATTATATGAATTTATTTGTGGTTTATTTAATGATGCTGTCAGTAGATGATGATAAAGAACCATATGTACCACTTCCATTTCTCCATTGCTGCCTCTTCCCTGACCTTCTTACCTTATTGTATTCCAGATCCCAGCACTTGACCTGCCGATCTTCCCCGCAGCTGAAGAGATAAGGGTGTCTCGCACTGACAGCAAGCCCTCGAACACTGCTGATATGTCCAGTCAATGACACCTTCAAATGGCCACTGGCCAAGTCCCAGATCTGTGAAGAAGTAGGAGTACGTTTTAAAACTAAGAATACTACATCTTACCAATGGATTTCTTTCTTGGTTGATTTAATGTTCACTTATCATGTACAAAGATATAATGTCAGATTATAGAATGTCTGGGAGGGGATGAGGGTGGTAGTAGACCACCATTTGAAGTTTTGAACTGACACTGCCTACTGTAGCCCATTAAAACAAATCATAAATAAGTATATACAAGGAATTGTAGTTCAGTTGGGGGAGGGGAGGATACCATCAGAAGTTTTGTACACAGATCCTGACTAGTGCAACTGTTATGGTAGTCAGCAGCAGTGATATGAGTTACTGTACTGTCCACAGACCAGGAGAAAAGCCCTGCGGGGGGAAGTCGTTTCTGGGGCGGTGCAGGGGGAATGTTTACTATCAAGTGGACTAGAAGGCTGCTATTGGTGGGAAGTGTGATACATCAGATTACACACAGATCACTGTGCCTCTGTGAGGTAATCTTAAAGCTATACCCATCAGAACACATGAAAGCCTGTTGTCTGTTGTTCGTTCAGTGGTTGTGGAACGAATGCTTTTAGGATGGGTCGTCACTCACCGCAAAATCTTGCGCATGCGCGTATAACGAATTCCTAGCAGGTCTTTTCTCCTGGTCTGTGGACTGTACTCTTAACAGAATAAAATGATCTCCTTGCTGTAATGAAGACTTACAATACTTTTTCACAAGTTGGATCCAATATAATAATTGCGTAATTCCACCTTCTGTGTACCAACTCTTGTTTTTGAATTTATTATATAAAGGTAAACTTTTAAACAGTGGTCAATGTGGAAAGGAAAACATCCAAAAATGTGTTTCGTATTTTTATTCACAAATATATTTTGTTTTGTATTTTATTCCAGTAGAGGAAATAGCAATATATAATTCAGCAAAATTAATTGTTTTAGCACAAATATTTACAAGTACAAACATTTGTTCAATAGTAATACCATTCCCAGTTAAATCCCCTGAGTTACTACCTGACAGATGGATAGAGTGTGAGATTTGATAGTACTGTTCAGGATTCAATGAATGTGAACTGAAGTTAAAGCAGTTTTTATTAAAAGCTTGTTATAGAAGTTTTACCTTGATAACTCTGTCAGCTGAGCCAGTAGCAAACCACTCATTTCCGGGTTCAACTGCCACACAGCGTACCCATCCTAAATGGCCTGATATTACACGGTACAACTTCCATGGAGCATGCCACTTTGGCTTTGGCATGGCAGGGGCTCGACGGGGTATAATGCTTTGTACAGTATTACCAGTTGCAGGAGCTGGTATATGTACAACACCAGTACCAGATACAGCACTAGCTGGAACAAGGGCTCCTTCAGCAACCATTGTGGCATCACTAGTGTAGTTCACACCATCTAAAACACAAAGCAATTATATATTTACAAAGGTTCCATGGATATTTAATTACATAATTTTCCTCCTTCCCCTCTGATTTTACATGTCTTAAACATTAAAATATAGCCTTCATAAATTGTTACAGATTATTCAACATAATAGTGCTCAAGCTTTTTATTTGGAATATCCTAAGTTAAAATCTTGACCCACAGACTGGCTATTCTGGTTGAAGTTTTCAGATTTTCCTTAAGTCTCTATAGACTAAGTACCTTCAAATAAGCCACAAGTGGAATCAAATCCCTCCAATTTCTTAATCATGTTACTGTCTTATACTTCCTCCAGCTCTAATATTGATTAGAAACACCGACTTTGTATGTTTTGAGTGGTAGTTTGACATCAGTGGCAATAAATTTGGCCTGATATGTCTTGACGGTTTAAGCTGTAAGTGGTTTTCTACCAATGAAAAGAATTTGTCCAAATTATACATGCAAAAAATAATATTTTGGGATAAGAAATGCTGACATATGACAGGGTAAAACCTCATAGTCTTACTATGATTGATATTAAAAGTATAAACATTGGACCTTGTATAGCTCCATGCTGAAGATTCAGGTCTCTTTCTGCACTGTGCAACTTCAGAGTATTATTTCTCTTCACACGGTCAAATACTAAACCATAACAATCTCTTGCTTTTACAGTTTTCTTCACTTTTTCACTGGAACATACAACATTTAAATACCTTAAAATTCTACAGAATTGCACTGTTCAGTCTTCATACTATGAATATGCACATTGTGGGTAAAGTACCAGTTTGTAACTGATATTGGCTCTAAACTGAATGGCTGAGATATAGCACCCAGCATTGATGTTAGTATTTCTCCTTCATAAGTACTTTAAAAACTATTTCAGACACAGCCTAAGAATTCAGGTGTTATCCATGTCAGATTTTATCCTGGTACCAGCTATGTTGTAGGTTTATCTTCATTTATATTAGTCCCTCCATTCAAAATACCTGTATATTACCTAATGGTTTTCTTTCAAAATCCTTCCCATCTCAATGTAATAACTGAGAAGTCTTAAACTATAATTACTTACGCCTTTTCATCAATAGGTGCCAAAAATCCATGATTTGATAGAAACATATCATGGCTTCGTTTCAGGGAACGGAACACCAAAGTGTGCACTGAATGCCTTTGTACATCCTGTCACACAAATAATCACATTAGACTAATACTTCTTTGACTAATATTTACTTAACATACAACTTAGGCAGTAGAAGTGCAGATTACAGTACCATAAGTTACATTTAACATCTCACATAACATAATAAAACCACATTTTAACATACAATAGCACCGTGGAACCAAAAGCAGCCCTTTAATGCTAATTCACTTGCAATACAAACCATTCCCATTTATCCTTAATGTAATTTATTCTTCACAGTGCAATAGCCAATTACAAGTAAATTAAGATTTCTGTTTGGGTTGGGAAGTGGGAAAGATGTGCAGAGTCGCTCTTTGTGTTGGGAAAAATAACTAAAAGAAACGAACTGAGTGCCTGAGTTGTAGACATTATTCCGATACAGCATTATCTTCTCTACCCTTCATAAACTTTTCTGAACTGATCAACATAACCTCACATGTAGTGTTGTCATGGTATTACAGAACTGCAACATAGCCTGCTACAATTTCTTACACTACCGTTATTAAACTTAATACCTCAGTCATAATGCAGAATGAGTAAATTAACTGTCTTTAACTCGTAATCTGAAGTCAATAACCGTTACCACAACAAAACTCATCAACGTCTTTACTTTTCAGCAAATCACTTGCATTGATTATAGTTGGCCATGACAGTTTGGAACCAAACTTTGACAGTAAGACAAGAAGTAGATGGCCATGACCACGGGTTACAAACATTTCCTGTTTGAGAACACAATTACGTGAGAGAAGGGACAGAAGTGTAATGTCTGTTCTTGTGGTCTGTGCTTCCTTTGTGAAGTCCTTAAATTATTTACATGATTGAAGAAGGTAGTATTTTAAAATCCACATGAAGAGGTATGTATTAGTTAAAAGAATGGATATTATTTAACAACTTCTATAAGTATTATGGTTGAACGTACACAGTGCGATATTGACAAGACATATCTTGCTGTCAAGGGCCTTCTTGGCAGTTTGATATTGTTCATATATATATATATATATATATAATTGAAATACCTCTATTTAAAGTGTAATGTTAGACAGGTGTGGTCCCCAGACGTCTTGAGAGGAAAAGTTGGAAGGTGTGAGTATTTATTTATTTATAAAGTATAGTAAAGTTTTCATAAGAACAAAATTTCAATTCCAGAATGCTGAAGTTACCTCCGCCAAAAAGGCTCATATTTTGCATAAGGTAACGTTAGAGACCTTTGTACAAATAAATACAGACTTCATTATGGCAGCTGCAACAGAGATTGAAGAACTCATGACAGGACCTCTTGTTACATGGGTATGTACATGTAATGTTTCCTGCGCATTTTAATAGAGTAGGCATAGACCTGCTTTAAGTGGCCATTTATTTCCATGAATATGTGTACCTCTTCTTCAAATTTGGTTGATTAATATATGAACACACAACATGAGTAATGTTAACATACAGAAGATTTTTGTTTTTTGTTGCTTTTTGATTTTTGATTTTTGCTTTTCAGAAATTGATCATGAAATGTTTTATATACTTGTAAAATAATGGTCTTAATACCTTACTGCTCTTGTATATCATATTACAGTTAAGTTCTTGCTTGGAGAATGCAGACAGACTTGCTGAATATGAAGATCTGACTGATGGGATTCTTATTCATGAAATTCTGTTGCAAATGTAAGTTATTGTGGTTATAACATATTTCTCTACAATTATTATCCTTGAAACTAATATATTTATTTTATTATTATCATGTACTTATGTGCACTTGATTCATCTGTTCTGCTTTTAACCGACTTAAAAGAAATATCATGGACATTATTAATTGCATTTCATATAAGAGTTACAACATAAATTTATGATACCTGTGTAGAAAGATTAAATGAAAATAGTTTTCAGGATTAGGTATGAGTATCTTTCAGAAATGGTCATAAAATACATAATATTGCACAGAAGTAAAAGTGGCATATTTTTAGTATAGTGTAACATAGTACAAGAAACCAAATATTCTGTTTTATTGTCTTAAAATAATGCAACTTTTATTCTGACAAGGATAATATGTGTCACAAATTATATTTTCCTCAACCCATTTAGCTCCAGTTCAACAATGTCATACTACCACTGCTCTCTGTATAATCCTGGTAGCAAAGAAGTGTGACATTAAATTATGTAAAATGTAAACCAAAAAATATTTCCTTTTTATTCAGAGATCCAGAGCCTGTGCATCATGGAGTAACACCAAGTATGGGAAATACATCAATACGCATACGTAATATGGACATCATCATTAAAAACATCAAAGCTCTGTATGAGGCAAGGAATACAGTTCAGTGTATTAAAGTTTCAATCCATTTATTGATCATCTGAGGTTTGATTTCTACCCTAAAAACAGATCATAAAAGACTACATGGGATTACAACCCTGAAACTGCAGTTGTCTTCTTCTTATTCTTCTATTATTTTCTGTACCAGTTTGGGTACAGAATGCCAGTAACCAACACAGGGAAATACTTATATCAAAACACTAAATATGAGTGTCATGTGATTATGTAAAGCACTAAATGTACAGAAATGTAACCTGCAGCTTTGTGGTTTCCTATAGAGAAAATATAGATATGCAAATGAGTGCAGTACCTGTTGTGGAATTGTGTTGATTTCCATACAGGAGGAATTGTGTCAAGTTCTTCTTGTGGTGCCAGACTGCGTGAAGCTTGGAAGGGAACCAGACAGTGAAGTTGGTGTGGAAAACATGCAGCTGTTACTTCTGCTGCTGTTGGGCTGTGCTGTGCAGTGCCCTAACAAGGAAACTTTTATTGACAGAATTAAACAATTGGATGTATCAGTTCAGCATGCCATTGTTGATTGCATCAGGCAGGTAAGTCTCAGCTTATCAGTTTCTTACTCTGAAAGTGTATTGATAAAATACATTGCATGTTTTCTTAAATTATAATAATTCTAAATTGTAATTAATTTAATTTCTCAATTGTTTGCCAGTTACATATACTTAAGAACCTGTGTTAGTGAAAATTATTAGTTCAGATAAGTGTTATCATTATAACATTTTTATGTTGATCCTTTCTTGTCCTTTTTTCAGTAAGTTTTGTACACTTCAATGTAATTTGTTCTTACCTTTGTACCCATGAATAAATTAAGATTCAAACTGGAAATCACGAAATAAATTGATTTTCAGGTAACAGACAGTCATAATATTGTACTGACACAGGATGCAATTACTGATGCCTTTCCTACTGATCTTATGGTGTTGCACATTCGAAGGCTAGTGCGAGAGAGGGATGAATATTTGAAGGTTGGTTTTCAAATTTTTGCTTTTAGTATTTGCTTGCCTGTAGAAAGTCAGGTACAGTGTATACATTATTTTTTCTTCTCTTCTTGAGAACTCAATTTCAGAATGTTCTTGTAACTTTCTTATATTCTTCAGCAATTTTAATTACATCCTACTGTATAATCCCTTTTCAAATTACTTTTAATTATACAATTTGTTAGAACATATTCATAAAAATTACTTTTCTATTGCTAAAGGCTGGTGCATGTTTCACTGTAAATATTCTGTGTATGTTTTTCCTGATGAAAGATTCTCGAGCTACAAGCCACATCAGGTGGCTGAATGGTGAATAAACCATATCTTCTGCCAACGTTTCGAGAGCATAGATGACTCAAAATGTTGGTAGAAGATATGGTTTATTCACCATTCAACCACTTGACGTGGCTTGTCATCTAAGAGTCTTTCATCAACTTCAGTTGCCACTTTATACATTAGTTTTTCCTTCTTGTTGTGAAGTAACAGTTTTTGAATGTATCGCTTCTTATTTAATCTTCTGCTAGCATTGGACAGCCTCAGTCATTGAAGAGAGGTCAGTAGGAAGTGAAGAATGTAGTGAGCAACAGAGGAAAGCATCAACACCAATGTCAGAAGGGGAGTCACATCATCTGGCCGTGGAACTTGCTGACTGGAAAGCTCGATTGAGGAAACAGCGTCAGGAACTGTAAGCTTTTTATTATGTGTGCTTCTTATATTATCTATCAGTCTGATAATATGCATAATTATCTGATGTAAATAAGATCTAGAGATGTGTGTCACTGAAGACACTTAAAAAGTAAAACTTTTTCAGTTTGTGGTATTTCTTGTAATATTAGTTTCTCATTGTTTATATTATGCAAATAAAATAAGACAAGAATGTACTCAGTTTATTGGAGAAGCGATAGGACACCAGATTTATATTTGGTATGTATGTGGTTCAAATCTCAGACTGGGCATTAACTGTTATAACAGGTTTTTTTATCATTTTCCTCATTTATTCCAGGATAATGCACCATGGTTGGATGTTGGTGATGTTAGTGGATGCTGGACAGTACTTGGAAATTGGCTTCTTAGTTTATAAAATATTTGTCATCTTGTTAGCCATTCTGTGGGTTGTTGCTATGGTACATAAGTGTGCTACCCTTTCCAAACTCCACAAGACTGAAAATTGTTGGTATACACAAATGTAACAAACTTGATGGCCTTTGTACAGTCACTAAAGTATTCACCTATGTCTCCTATGTGTTTAGACATGGGGAAGTGTTTTAAATATTATTGACTGATAATCTGATCCTTGTCATTGTCTTCTAATGCCACTAATACTATCTTTTGTGTCCTTTGTCTAGTGAGGAAAAATCAGAAGCATTAGTTGAGTGCAGAGAAGACCTGGAAAATAACAAGATATTAGTAGCTAAACTACGGCAGGAGGTAATCGTATTACAGTTATTCTTATGTTGTACTTTTTGTGTTGTCAAAGTGATGATTATATCCAAACAAAAGAGTTTATATTCCTTGTATGTCATGTTTATAGGTTCAAGAGCTGATGCAAGATGCCAGAGCTGCTAAAGCCTACCGAGATGAGCTTGATGCTGTGCGTGAAAGGGCAGAGCGAGTGGACAAACTTGAACTGGAAATACAGCGATACCGTGAGAAACTAAGTGACATTGAGTTCTACAAGACACGTGTTGAGGAACTGCGAGAAGATAATAGGTGAATTGTTTGCTCCTCATCAATTTATTAGATTGTAATTATTTTGCTTCTTGCCACAGTTACCTGTTAATCAAGTGTTTTGAAGAGTACATAAATGAATATCTTTTTGTATTCATTTTTACTTGTTCACCTCTTGCCCCCACCCTTGGTTGGCTGATTTTCCCTCCAGGAGACAAATACGAAAATTTACTTACTATAAAATATTTTTTTTCTAATTTTTATGTTGCTCCAAAACATCCTTTAATTGGGTGGACATTTGATGATCTAAATATTTACTTAGACCTTTATGTAAAGTAATGAGAATATATTCAAAGTACAATAATGAGTGTCTGTTGTAATGAGAGTTAGTAATATACAATTTCTTCAAAATCTGTTCCATAAGATCACCACAAAATGTATTTTAATCTTCTTTTTTAAAATTGGTAATGCAGCTGCAGCTTTGTTCAACCTACTACATTGTTTTGAGCAATGAAGTTTCTGGAGCTCTTCTATTGTATTTAAAGTATGTCATGTGTTTTGGAGCCGCTGGGTTCAGACCTCATTTCGAACACTGGATGTTCTGATTAAGGTGTTGTGTTTTTTCTTCACAACTTCCAGACAAATGCTTGGATAGCACCTTCAAATAGTTTGACTTTATCATTTCCATATTTTTCATTTAACCATGCAGGATCATCCTCTCACCTCTTTCATCATTAAATAATCTCTGCAGTTGATACTGGTCTGTTAATGTAATGAATGAACCCTTTATGTATGTAAAGAGGTTTATTTTTAATATTGTTCACTATGTTAACTCCTTTAGTATTTTGATGCAGGGTGCTGCTTGAAACAAGAGAAATGCTAGAAGAGCAACTGCAGAGAGCCCGGAAACGAGCAGACCATGTGCTTGAACTGGAGAGTGAGATCATCAAGTACAAGCAGCAGCTCACTGATTTCACATTAGAGAGGGAAGCCAACCACGAGAAGTTACAGGAACTCTTTGAAGAAAATGCTCAGCTGCAATTGCTTACCAAGTCTGCTCTCAATGACAATTCAACTTTTGATATTGAAAGTGACAACGCAGAAGATTTTGATGGAGGTGCATTTGTTAAAATAGTGTATCCTTGCTTTTATTCACAAATTTTCTTTTAAGAAGGAGGAGGAAGAAGAAAAATAAGTATCTTTGAAACTACATTAAAATACATTGTTTATCAAACCAGCTGCTAAAATATAGGCACCAAAAAGAGGTTCTTCAGCATATTTCTGGGTTTTACCAGCTGTGTCTAAAATAATCTTATCTGCATTTGCATGTCAAAGTTCTTGTGCTATGGATAAGGCTGTGTACTTTATTACCACAAGTAATGTCTCTGTACCACTTTGATCTCATCTTCAGGTTCAGGAGACAACAGTTTATCAGAACAGTTAAGTAGCAATGCACAGGCTCGTGCTCTCAAATTAGAACTTGAGAATCATCGTCTTCTTTCAACAATTGACAACCTGAAAGAGTCATCATTTCATGAAAGCAGCAACAAAATCCTTGAGCTTGAGAAGGACAAGAAGAAGTTGACTCTGAAGGTAAAATGTAGTTTATAGATCATACTAGATGGCCAGCATGGGCCTCATTTTCAGTTGGGGTTTAGATTAAAAATGCCTACCAATATATTTTGAGAAGTATTGTAAAATTATGATTCGTGCACCAATAATTTTTAAATTTAAATTGGTCTCAAAATGACAGCAGAGAAAACAAAGTTTATGTTCATTTCTCAGTACCAGAATGCAGGACAAAGTCATCTAACTGTGCTTAATAAACATTTAGAGAATGTGACATAGTTGAAATATTTGGGAGTGCAGTAACAAATCATAATTACATATGTGACAAAGTTAAGACTATTTTTAATTCATGGCATGATTGCTAGCATTCATTTCAGAACTTTTATCTTTCTGCCTACCATCTAAAAATCTAAAGATTAAATTGTATAAGGATGTTATTTTACTTGTTGTTTTATATGATGTGGAACTAGGTGTGTCACCCTAAATGAAGAACGTAATTGAGGGTGTATGAAAACAAAGTGCTGAGCAGAATATTTTGACCTGAGTGACGAAGTAAGAGGATACAGAGCATTACATAATGGATATACAACTTGGTATAGCAAAACATAAATTATGGGATAATATTAAAATTCATGCAGAAGGAATAGGGTGTAAGTTTATGGGCTGGATTCAGCTGGCCTAAAATAGAGTCCAGTGACAGGTAGTAAATATTTGGGTTCCATAATGTGTGGACAATTTATAGAGTAGCTAAGTATCTGTCAGCTTCTGCAAAAGGTACCTGCTCCATAGAATTAGATGTAGATTATTTAATGAAGATGATTTTAAAATGAATCTAAAATATGGAAGTTGAAGTATTGAGAAGATTCTTTTTCATATTTAAATATTGTTGGACTATGTAGATAGACTGCACTCTGATCTGTAAAGTTTATAATGTGTTACTGTTAGCGTGGGGTATGGAGATAATTAGAGTTAATTTGTGGTGGTGACTGTCATAATCTAACCTAAAAGGTTTAGAAATATGGTCATAAATCATATGTCCCTATCCCATTCAATGCTTTAAAATATGTGCATACTTCATCATCATTTATGCAGCTTATTACTTTCACTTTGATCCATATATCTTAGGGAGTCTGCCATGGAATAGCCCTCATGCTGATAAACCCCTATGAAGATGACTGGATTCTGGGTTGTTGCACCGTGTAGTCTGGAACAAGTTTACTTATGTTTCAGAGGTGTTTGCTGCTCTCATCATCAGAGCAATGACAACCCAGAACACAGTAGTTTTCATATTCAGCTTTGTGAGAACCTGAAATCTCACAAAAATTCTTATAGTTTTAAGAGTCCTGTAAACTGACTTCTAGGTTGTAGACAAGTCCTGGTGTTAAGAGGACAAACCAGATAATACTTGAGTGTAAGTCACTGAAATAAGATGTCAGTAGAATACCAGTTCAGTAATTTTTCAGGTCTAAAATAATTCTGTAACATTTCAGGTTGATCAACTACAAGGAAATTGTCGGCGTTTAAATGAACAAAATTCTGAATTAGAACAACTATTTAAGGATGCTTTAACAGAAAACAGAAAACTTCAAGACTCTATAGATGCTTTAAAATTAAATTCTGACAAACAACATCAGGAACTGCAGGTGAGGAAAATTATGTTTTGTTTGAATCTCTCAGTACAATTCAACACAACAGATCATGAAGTTTTGCATGAAGCATTAATTTATAGTTGCTCCTAGTCTCACCATATTGATTTTGAAGGAAAATAGCCATCATGAGTTTTTCCCCGAATTTCATCCTTTATAAATGTAAAGCTGTACTTATTAAATATGTTACTATCACCAATTATTATCATGTAGGTGATACTTTTCAGTTCATATTATTTTACTTCTGAATGGAACACAAATTAGTATTTCAACTGTGCTAAAACAAAATGTCTGAAGTAATAATCACACAAAAGAAGAAATATGTGAATAACAATTTTGGTACCATTTAAGTATAACATTTCTGTTTATTTGCAATGTTTCTTGTATTTTTATAAAGGCTGGTAGGTCTCAAATAGAAGAACTTGGTAACGTTGTTGAGAGCATGACAAAAGAAAAACAAAGGTTGCAGTGTCTTGTAGAAAGTATCCAGCGTCGTGCAGATGAGTTGGAGAGGACAAATGAAGTAGCCATTCAGCAGGCAGAGACCTGGAAGTCAGAGGCTCAGCATGTCCCAGAGCTCCAAACTCAGTTCAGTACAAGCCAGGCAAAAGTAGAAAGCCTGGAAAAGGAAAACCAGAGTCTACAAAGAGAGCTAGTTAAGTTACGAGAATCACTTGAGGTAAGAGTGAATACATTTCAGAGACTTCATTGCAGTGGAATGAATTTACAGATATAAAAGTGTGAGGAGATAAAATTGTCTGGAAACTTGCATGGAATTGACGTGACGAAGAGGAGTAGTGTTATATATTTAATTTTACATGGCATTTTTATAGAGCAAATAAAACTGTGTGCAGTACAGAAATTTATTACTTTTTGTAGGTTAAAGATGTGGCTCTTGATCAGTGTGCAAGTGAGACTGCATCCCAGGAAAAGGAGAGAAGTAGACTGACCAAGGAATTGGAAGAAGCTACAACACAGATTGCTAGGTTTGTACGTAATATATGTTGTGCTGAATAAGAATGGCATAAATAAATGCAAATTATGTTTGACCTCAGCCCTTCTTAACAATCAACAAAGATATGTTAAGTATGTAAGACTTGAAGTTCTCACAGCGGTGAATATGAAGATTTCTGTCTTCTGGGTTATTGC